TGCCCCCTGACGGATTCACATAGAAACGTCTTAACCAATAAACTGCGTCTATATGGGTTGCAGGAACCTTTTAGCGTGGGTTATATTCTGGGGAATTTAGATTGTAGAATTTGCCATACCATTGTTACATTCATGAATAAAGCACAGGAATTATTAAAGATTAATCTATAATTAAATATGAGCTGGGACTTGGGAGACTCTCCCTCTTTTCTTAGATCGTGAAGGTGACGCTGACCTTCCGTGCTGGGAAAACAAGAAGATCGAAATAAGGACTTCCAACCCCAATAAGGAAGATCCCTAGAAATTTGAAACCGTGGTACTTGGATCCTAGGGATCCGAAATCCAGTGGGGCAAAAGAAGAAGAAGAAGGCCTCTGGCACTTAGCACATTTTCAGTAGTTTCATGTGACCCTCTTATCGTCCGAAATCCGCTAGGGGCGCTAATAGTCTTATGGTGCATTCTTGATAGTAAAGTGAGGTTATTTTTACCACATCCGACATCGCACATGTGCCGCACGCACGTCGTTGAACGCGATCGAATTTAAATAAACGCGGTCGCATGCGATTAAACTGACCAAGTGCAGTCAAGTGATTTACGAGTAATCAAAAATTAAGTGAGAAAAAATTTGTCATTTCGGTATTTATATATTAATATGTATAGTAAACGCACGTGGATGCGCGTGTATATGCGATTCTTGTCGATCCATGTCTAATTATGCCCGCGAATTGCATAGCACCGGGTTGTACTTCTGGATATAAATCAAATCCAGAAAAAATTCATTTTTTTATGGTGCCTAAAGACAAAAATATATTCACTTTGTGGCAAAATGCTACACGAAGAAAAGACATTCGAGCAGGACAGTTTGTTTGCGAGAAGCATTTTTTGGCCGAAGATATTCTGTGGAAACGAGAAATCAAAGATTCTAATGGACACGTGCTCGGCATTGTAAGTAGTGACATAAATATTTTATTCATTTACTTGATCAATAGTTTATATCATTAATTGAACAATATAGTTTATATCATCTTTGTCTTTCAGTCACCTTACAAAGTACCAAGATTGCGAAAGGGGACTATACCATCGCAATTTCCATGGACAGAAATTCCCATATCAATGGATAACAATAACACGCCGCTGCAAGACACACCTCTTCAAGAAACAGCCCATAAATCTGAGCAAAATGATTTACAAGAGATAATATCAGATGAGCCATCAAAATTCTCTTTTACGGATTTGTTTACGTGTACATTGCGAATACCAGTAAACTGGACTAGGCGTACTGTTGTCTACGAGGGAATTGAAATAGAGTCATTTATAAATGTAACTTGTCGAAAAATTGAAAACAATTTCATGACTGTACATACAAA